TGGGTCAGAGTTGTCCTGCAGTATCAAAACAAGAATTCATCAGAAGCTCTTATTTGATTGAACAGCTCTGGTGTTTGAAGTGCTGAAAGGAAACTGGAGTGCAGAGTGTCGCAGATCACAAGGTAGAAATGTCACGTTGCTTCAGAGAGCGAGCGAGCTTGGAATGATAAGAGACAACTCCCAGCTGCAAGTGTACCTTGCAGAAGGGAAACCTTGTGAGATTTGAACCTGAATTTGTTTGTAACTGCGTTTTACAAAAGTTTAACATAGTTGCATTACAGATCTATATTTAGTTGTAAATCTGTAATTTGTGACATTGTAATGGGAGAATTGAGAGAAGACTTTATCATGAGGTTAGAAATACTAAGCTTATTTATAACCTAATACGGCTTCTTTAGCCTAGTAAAAATACTTGCATGCTCATTAGGAATAGGACTAGGGTTAGGACTCTTGTATCTCACTTTCTGTGTTACGACAGTTTTATGTAGTTGTAAATTAATACATAAATTGACTTTAAAGCCTACAGGGTGTTCAGAGTTACGTATTCACTAGATAAGAGAGAGGGTAAAGCTCCAGAAATACTTGCTTCCTGATCTGGCTATAGACCGTTGTGTCAGGTTTCCCTTGTTTCGTTCTTGGCTCACTTGTAAATTAAAGGGATAATGTTCTGAACAGAGATGGAAAAGGGAAAAAGAAGAAGAAGAGGAGTCGTCATGCAGGTTTGTGTTGCCAGTAAATTTGACGGATGAACAGGAAGAATAGCGTGCATGATGGAATTATTGTAAGTGCAAAAATGTATCTAATGTTTATTAGTAAGCAAAATAAACAATGCTGAAGAAGGAAAGCAGCAAACTTTTTTTTTGGAGCACCAGTCACTTGAGCATTGTTTTTTCCACAGTTTTCTGGTATAAAGTTATACTTCTAGCATGTTTAAACTTTGGTGACATTATTAAATGAATCAGTAATTGTCCTTGTCCACAGGGTGATTTTTAAGTGTTGAGCAGAATAGTTCTTAAAACACGTAGGTGAGGAAAGGTTCAAGGTATTTCTCTCTTGCCTAAAGAACGTATATGATGACTGAATACAAAATTGTCGTGACTAGCAGAATTTTGCTGTTTGCCAGCTACTGAAGATCAGAGCTTTCTGTTATAGAGTATGTTCTTTGCCCAAACAATTGAAAATAATGAATATGGTGAAAATACTGATCTCACCTTTATGATGAACTTTTAAAAATCAGTTTTGTATCAGGCCACTGAGATATCATAACTGAGATCCTCAGGCTCTAGTAAGAAACCAGATTCTAGTCTAAATAACCAGCCATGCAAGGAGGAGTAGTACCAATGTATTGTACAGTGACCTG